AGAAGAAAGAAAAACAAGGGCATGTCAAGGCCTAAACCAAAGATGTATGTAAAATAATCTGAGCAGCTTGATTAGCCAGAGTGAGATTAAAAGTTGCATTATTGGCCTTTAAACATATGGTGTAGCATATTATATATCACCTATAATCTCTACTACAGCAGGAGTACGGACAGCTTGTTTTCCACTAACTGTAAATAGAAATTACTTTAATCTTTCCTAAAATGTTTACATGTAATTGGAGAAGTATCTGATAACAAAAAAAAAAAGCTGTAAAGATAAAGTTATATAAACTAGGATTACACAACAAAGCACACTCTAGTATATTAAACTGATTAAAATGTAGATAAATTAATAATACTAAATTAAATTCCACTGTAAACAGGGAAAACAGGAGTCCTGAGCACAATAGTTATATCTTTGTTACTTTGTTATTTTTCCTGTTGCATGGCTACCAGGGTTTCTCTGTTGATAAACTTAAGTAATTTGTATCAAGATTTATATTTTCAGAACCATGTAACCTTATTTAAATTACTTCAAATTGGTAAGTGTGTATTGTCAGTGTATAGGCATCATTATGTATTCTTGTTCTCTAATTATGAACAGCTTACAAATACCACTCCATTTATTCTCAGTTCTTTTTAATATCATAGAACCAGGAAAATTCAAAAGATTATTATGGTAGACACTATACACATATACCAAAGTAGGAAGAGAAGGAATGTAGTAGTTTCATCTTTTAAAATAATTCTTTCCTGCTGACCCAATCCTGTACTGTGTGTTGTTTCACACCTACATTTATGTTTGAAAGGAGGATCCTACAGAAAGATTCTCCATTAAATGTTCAATTACACATCTTTCAATAAGCCAGAGAGACTTGTCTTATGGAACAGTTCCATTCTCAGATCTGTCACTTAAAATATGATGTGATTTTGGATTAATTACTTAAAGGTGGTGTCTTGTTTCCTCTGTCTGTAACAAAGAAATAATTCCTACCTGCCTTAAACCAGCTATGAATATGACTAATATACGTGATTTTGTGACTCTCCTCAAAATCAGTGAAAACTAAGGGAAGGGTTTGTTGTAATTTTCATTCTCAGTACCTGACTTTCAAAATAAAAGGAACTTGGAATAAAAATAGTGTGTCTTTGCTGGTTGTACTTGGTGATATCGGACAAGACTTCTTAAAAATATGAGTGCAGTTTTTCAAGGCTTCTGAACAATGCAATTGCAGGTGCGGACTACCTATCCATTTGGCCATTAAGAATATGGTTTTTTCATAGGTATTATGTTAAAATATCAATTTTTCTGATTCCTATTATCGATTAGTTCATAGGAACAGTAGATGAGTGTTTACCTGGCAAGCTTCTATACAGCTAAAGATGAATTTTTAATGTGCAACAAAAGAGTGGTGTTAAATGTACAGCCTTAGTCTCCACTATTTCTCTATTAAATTGATCTGGGATAAACCCAGATTTTTTTTATTCTTCAAAGAAGGACTCTTTTCATTTCTGCATCCATGTTCATCTATCTAATTTCCAATATCAATGTTTTCATTCTGAGTCATAGCTTTTCTTTAGTTTGTACATTCACATGCAGTAATAAAGCAATTTACATTTGTTCTTGCCTTAAATGCCATTTAGATATGTTCAAAATGGTTTGTTTCGACATCTGGAATTTTATTTGTGTGCCAAACAACCACATAGGATTTATAAGCTAATTCAAAAAATGGGGGAGAGCCTGCAACAAAAACATGAGAAACTTCAAAGCACAATGGACCCTCCATCTGGGTCCATCATGGAGCCCAAGGATGTAGGTGTTCTTCAGAGGCTGTCCCACCTGTTTTGTTTTGTAGGATTGCATACCAGTCATCTTCGTGGCAGAATTAGGAGCTCAATGGCTTTGAGGATGCCACACAACAAATAGGTTGCAGTTATAAATCATGTTTCACTTTGTCACTTCAGTTTTTTCTTAGAGGTTTAACCAGGAATTTTGGGGACTTTGCGGCCCGCTTAAATGAACAGTCTCTTCACTGGGTCAAGACTCTACCTGAACTGATTCTAGATACATTGAGAGTTTTCTACAAAAAAAGAGTCAGAGATTGCCTTTCTGCTACATTTTTGTAAAATCAGATTGGAAATCTTGGAAAACACAGACATTAAACAAAAGAAATATACCTAATGCATATAATTGGCCATAAAATAGCAGGTTTCAGATAGTCTTCCAAACCAGATAACACAGTAGCACTGTGCCTGTAAGAAATAAAGTACAGCCTGTACTGTATCACTGAAGGCTGTGAAATTCTACCAATTTATATTAGTTAAAGACAATTAGAGAAATCTCTTTGCTTAATGTGTTCTGCTAATGTAAATTTCAAGCAGTTTTCAAAATGCCTTGTCCTTTATCTGTGGGAAAGAATATATGTTACATACATATGATACACACATGTGTCATTACATAAAACTCTTATAAAAGCAATATTATCTACATAAATCTGTATTTTTACTAATGATCCTGACTGCCAGGTTTTTTTATGCTTCTTTCTCTCTGTCATCCTGAAAAATAGGTATATTAGTTCTCTAGCTTATACAGTTGAACTGTTGAATATTACAGGAAAAACAAATTTTGTCAGAAAATCTGTTAGAATGTATTGCAAAGCAGGTGTGTTTCCATTTATAAGAGCATGTATGCAGTTAGGGAGATTCAGAGCAGATACCATGAAAGCTAACAAAAATAAACCTGGTGGAGGGGAATCTGTATTTCAGACTGAGGAACAGAGAACTCTTGTGGTACCATGAGTCTTGCTAAATGTCTTACAGGCTGGGGTCTTTAGCACAGAGTATGTGCAAATCAGTGCCAGTTAGAGAGTTAGGTAGATTTTCACTCAGTTTAGATCAAAATATTCATATTTTGGTACATATTATAATAGTAAGCCTGCAAGTGTTAGGAAAGTTCTTGCAGGTTTAAAGGTTAAAGGTAATAGTTTAATTGTGAAAGTATCCGTTTCCCTCTCTATATTTCTCCTCCTATCTGTGTGACCTGTGGTAGTTGAATAGCATCATTGAGATAAAATTGTTACAAGACAAATTCAGATCTCAAGTAAACAGAGGAAATTCTTGGTGGCTTCGGAGGGAATTGAATAATGACTCTAGTTGGTGAATTTTATACTTTGCTCATGCATCCCAAAGTTGTAGAAAACCTGTTTGTCTTGTCTTCAGTACTTGTTAAACTTAAAACATTATTGTATGTGGTGTTTACAGTGCTACAAAACTAGATGTTATAAAGTGTAACAACCAGAATTAGTCATCTGAAATTTAAATGTCTACTCAAAGTGAGTCTGCACTCCATGGAGAGAGACAGGCACATTCACAGTGTGGGCTTACTTTCATGTTAAAATAAATCTCTAAACTAAATCAGATATACTTTGCTCAGGATTTCTTTATTCTGTTGATAATGGAAGGAGTACAGGGATAGATGAGCTTAAATTCCTCCCAAGTTTCTGAGTGGAAATCTGGTTTGTCTTTTCCATTTGTATTTTAGAGTAAAACCTTCAGAATTTTTATTCTTAAAATTCATTTGATGTTTTCTAAAAGATTATCAGACTTTTTAGTAAAGGCTGGTATGTTTACTTTCAGACTCTTAATTAGTCAGTGTTTTAAGACCATAGTTTATGCTATGATGAATTGTGTGAAAAGTGGTATTCTGTAATATTATATGAGGTAATTTCTTCTAAAAGAAAATTTCAGTGGACTTGTGTTTCTTTTTTCCTCTATTTCATTAATACAAAGTCTTTTGGGATAGATTCAAGTAATAGAAACATTAGAAGATATTTTCCTCCTAAAATTGGCTCATGATTTAATTTATTAACAATAATATTATTTTTGCTGATTTACAGAAGACTGGAGTGTTCCAATACATCTCACAAAGCAGTATTTATATGCCAGCTTGCTATTATATGCAGAAAAAACATTTGAATTTTGCTAGACAAGCGAGTGGCTGCTTTTTCATGGGTGGAAAACCTGGCTTGTTGACAGCTGTTTGACCGTGTCCCGGGTAGCTGGAGCAATGCTCTCACATCACAATGTGCCTGCCACAGCACTGGACAATACCCCAGCTTCTTTCATAGAACTTTTCTCTCCTACCTACACAAGGAAACATACTTCCTGTGTCTTTCCAACTCACACATATATTTCTGAGAACATGTGCATATGTGGGTGGTTATGCATTTGCTGACGCTTGATCTCACTGTATAACAAGTGGAAAATAAAGCCATGTCCAAAACAGCACCTATACAAAAATGCAGTTAAGTGGAAAAACTAATAATCTAATGCCAAGGTTTCCCAACTTTCACTTTCCAGTTAGGAATGCTGAGAAAACAATTCTCTCGGCAGAGACCAGGTGACTGAGGTAGCAGTCCTTGCTGTGTACTCTGATATGTGCATGATGTTCTTATTCCTGTATAAATCAGACCTTCTTAAAGGACTAGCTGAGCAAGAAAGTTTTTCTTCTACTGAAGTGATGTTTTATGCAAAATTTTTTTTAGGCTAAGTGTCTTTATTGTGGAAAACATTTACTGCTTAAAGATACTTATTTTGCTGTCTGCCTTAATCATATCCTTTGAAACAGTCTCAATAGATTTTTCTATTCGTAACATTATGACACTTGATAAGATGATTGATTATGAAGTGTTGAGAGCCCTGCCATGTGATCATTTATTTTTAAATACACATTTGTACTAGCCAACGCTTAAATTTCTTGCAGGAATACATAAGAGATACGAAACATAAAGCTTGAGTCTGATCGAAACTGATGCCTCTGGAAATAGAGTGCCACAGTACTGTGGCCTTAAAATAACAGATTCTGACTGAAACTGGAACTTTACAGTGATAAATACTATGTAAAAAATTATGGTCCATCTTTGGTACAAAATAAAAGAGATGTATTGCTGTAGTGCAGGCAAAGTAAAATGTGTTTGATGATGATATCTTTCTTTCCCTGTGCAGGTGCCTGTGTCAGTGGCCATGATGACTCCCCAGGTGATCACCCCTCAGCAAATGCAGCAGATTCTCCAGCAGCAAGTGTTGTCTCCGCAGCAGCTTCAAGCACTTCTCCAGCAGCAGCAAGCAGTTATGTTGCAGCAGGTAATGTGTGTTACCTGCTTTGGACTCTTAGCACAGGGCATTCACACAAATGTCAACCAGATTTTATGGGTCTTATTTTGTAATATTTCTTTGCTCATTGCATGAAAAAGAATGAAAATAAACATGAAACTTCTCCATCTCCAAATTTATTTTTTTTTTAATTGCAGAAGTGTGAAATCACATTTTGAAACATTCAATATTATATTAAAACCAGCAACAGCAGCAGTGGCAGATGCATTACAAATACCAAACAAATTGATGTTTAAATTTTCAAGCGCTTAGGCACATTTTAATTGTAGACCTGCCAAAGGAAGTGCAAATAGAGTTGTAGATAATCGTTGCTTTAAAATTCATAACATTGTAGTGCTCCCTTTAGTCACATAAATGGCATGCGGTTATGAAATTTGAACTTAACAGCTTGTTTCATCAAGAGAAAAGGTTTTTTTATTTTGTTTTTTTACATATTAAAAATTTGTCCCAGATAAGGCTAAAAAGGAGGAGGAGGTTGCTGTTTCCTTAGCACAAAATCTGTCAGCTAATTGAAAAGTACGTGAACTTGTTATTCATACAGTAATTATTGATAGTGTCAGTGATCAGTGCCTTGGTGTAACGCAGAGTGAATTTTTGGGTGCATGCTTAATTTTCATACAGAAAATGATGTGTCTGTTTGTCATAGTCATAGCTCAGTCACTGAACTGTATGTTTAAACATTTTAATATCCAGTACCATGATCGTTACAGGCAATTCACCTTCAGTTGTGAATCCAGCATCCTGCTAAGCAGATTGACAGATTAATTACTTTTTTCCCCTCAGAAGCAGACAGTTTTGTTTGGCCTTAGTGACTTGTCGGTTTCTTGCGAGTGGATGAGTGCAGCTTCTGATTTGTTATATAGGACATTTAAGGAACTTAGGTATAGTTATTTGAGGAGTTAATTTGGCTCTTGCATTCCCTTTAGAATACAGATTTTCTATACCCTTCTGTTTAGGATATTTTGGAATCTGCATTGGAAAATTTCAGAACCGCCTTGGAAAAAAATGTATGTAGATCTGCCTCTTCAAATCACATTTTTTGTTATGAGGTGATACTTAATGGCTACGCTACCATATGCCAATCTAGAAGAGTTTAGGAGATTTATAATACTTGAAACTTTTGCCTTTATTTATTAAAGTCAAAATGGTTTATTCAGCAACAACTACAAGAGTTTTACAAGAAACAGCAAGAGCAGTTACATCTTCAGCTTTTGCAGCAGCAGCAGCAGCAACAGCAGCAACAGCAGCAGCAACAGCAACAACAACAGCAACAACAGCAGCAGCAGCAACAGCAACAACAGCAGCAGCAGCAGCAGCAACAACAGCAGCAACAGCATCCAGGAAAGCAAGCAAAAGAGGTAGGAGCTAAGACCCTTGCTGATGCACACTAGTCTGAGCTGTCAGAAGCTTGGAAAAGACAAGACCAGTTTAGATCTTTTCCTATTGCGAGGATGCAGCTATCAAAGATTTGTTCTTATATTTTTACTGGGCTTAATAGCAGTGCTGGTATAATTCTCTTGCTCCCCTTTGTGAGACATAGGATTTGAGCAGTCTAGTCCTGCTGTCGTCTAATGTTCGCTAATGAATCTGAGTGTGCAAAGAACAAACTGTATGGTGGACTCTGTACTGATTATCTTGTATTCACAGGCAATCTGTGTTGGGGAAGGAGCCTTACTTTGCTCAGTGGCACAGCTCAGAGAGCATGCAAATTTAGTCCATGGCTGAAAAAGAGCGATTGAGCACAGATTTCAAAGTCATAGGCCTCTGATTAATGAACTGCTACTGTAGGTTTGAAGTGGCGAGTAGAAAGTTACAGTTTGATGTGCTCATAAATCAACCTGACAAGTGGGTTTCTCAGGCCTAGCTTGCACTTGTCAGCAAACTGCATCAAATATAAACAGAATACAAACAAAACATGTTGAAGTAGTTAAATTGATCAGCAGGTATCCTAGACATTGTCTTCAAGCTGCCCATTATGCAAACGTCGAGGAAGCAGTTGTGACCTCCTGAGGCTTTGTTTCTGTTTGGATTTGTGAATAGAATTTCAGACAGCCATCAACTACGGAATAGAAATTGCTCCCTTATTTCTCCGGAGGCTCTGGGCAATCCACATGACTTGCTCCATTATGCAGTCTGTTTTCCAGTGAGCGCATCAGAAGTTTCTCTTTTCCCCAAACTAGAAAGGAAAGGTCTTCCACAGCAGCTTGTCTTTTTTCTGAAGTGTGACTGCCTTCTCATACCCTCCTGAGTCTTTGTAGACTCAAGTTTGTCTTGAAATGCCTCACAAAATCGGAACCTGTACTTTTGCTCCATAATAGGGCATTTCGTTGCCTTGAATGCCATGCTCCTTGTAATATATTCCAACATGAAAAGAGAGGGAGCTAACAGGCCAGTGAAAGGACGGCTACATCCCAGTTTACTAATAGATCACTGGAGACCATGTTCATGGGCCACTGCAGACCAAACTTAGTCAATTGGAAAAACAAGAGTGCCTTCAAATCACAGGCTGCTGTAAAAAGTTATATATTTAGCATAGATAAATCTGTTATCATCTGCCATGAGCTGAGGTTTTTTTTATTTGAAACAGCTGTTATATACTTTTTATTGATCCTTTTCTTTAGTGTGTCATTAAGTGTATCTTGCCATTTCCCCTAAAACCTAATATCTTAAATGAATATAATAGAAAATTTCAAACACTTTCACTGCCTGGGTATTCTACAAATAGCATTATTATTTAATAACTGAGATTAAAAAGAAGTTGATTTTATGTTTTTGGCTTTCTAGCCTTTACTGCACACTTTATTTTTTGCTGCATTTGCTTTTCCTTTTTTTTTCCCCCTGTTCTCTTTGTAGCAGCAGCAGCAGCAGCAGTTGGCAGCCCAGCAGCTTGTCTTCCAGCAGCAGCTCCTCCAGATGCAACAACTTCAACAGCAGCAGCATCTGCTGAACCTTCAGCGTCAGGGACTCATTTCCATCCCACCTGGCCAGTCTGCTCTTCCTGTCCAGTCTCTGCCACAAGGTATTTCAGTAATATATGATTGGAGATATTTCTAAATTCACAACTTTTTAACCATTCCATTTGCACCTGAACTTCAGAAGTTTCCCATTATGACAGTTAAGTGTATTTTGTCCTTTATTATTCACATTACCAAATTTTCTGGACACTGATAAATACTCTTGGAAAAATAAAACCAGGTTTTTATTGTTTTTTCTGGATGGAAGGTGCATATTTATTGAGCTTATGTGCTGAAAACAATTTCTAATAGCAGCACTTCAAGCATCATTGCTTTTCTCTGAGGAATCACTGAAATCTGATTTAGTGGAATGTTATTTCATTTAATATAAACAAACAGCTATAAAATACATCCAACAGTGATACTGAAGTCATTCTTTTCTTTTTCTTCTAAGAAAATAAAGTGTTTGGCATTGAAAAAGCACTTGGAATCTTCAATTTATGACAAGTGAATTTAGGGACAAGCCTTAGGATTTATTTTCTTCTCTATTCCTTTGTATTAAATAGGTTAAATAGAACAACAAGTTTTGAAGGTGGTGATTCCAATAGTAATGAACTGTGACTGACAAATAACCATAAAGACTTTTTGAAAAAAATTTCCTTTTGTCACTTTGATCAGGATTTCTCAATGATGAAAATGATCTCAAATTCCACTACTTGAAAGAAAATAGGGCACACATTTTTGAAGCGTAAATTAATGTGGAGATAAATGCTGCTTACATTTTAAGATAAGGTCAAAGTCTTCCCATCTAGGGGACTCTGCCTATAACCTGTAAGGTATGTGTTTCTGTTTGTTTTACCACAGAGAGTTAAGTATCTGTCATAAAAATTATACAATAATCTGATCTCTTATACCCCAGTCCTGAAATGAGCATTGTTTAGACTATGTTCATGACAGGTAACATTATTTTTAATTGGTCTTTATGCATGTAACTTGTTCCTCCACCAGGTAACTATTGCAAAATCAAAGCTTCAGAAATCAGATGAGCAAAAGCAGAGGACACAGTATATAGACAACGATCTTAAAAAAACCCAAAAACCCCAAACCAAAACAAACAAAAAAATAAACCAAAATGACCAGAACATCAGAGATTACAAATAAATGTGTTCATTTCATTGTGTAAAATAGTTGTGTAAAAAAGCTATGACACAAGCATATCTAATGCTGTAAAAGCTACAATGAAAATGAATCCTACTACAGCAAATAGAATAGCAGTGGGGAGACAACTTGATTCATAAACCTGGAGATGAGAGCCTGGTAATGCTGGTTTCTTTCTGTACAATTGGCTTGGTACAGAGTCAAAAAAAAGCATGAAACACAACTTCCCTCTGAACTGCTTTACCTTTTGCAATCTCCTCTTGTGCCATCTGTTGCTAGAGGAATTCCTCAGGTTTTCTCTCACATTAAGCTATCCCCATAGATTTCCCTCAGCACTCCTACCCAATTGCATTGGTATTCATCATTTTAATGCAACACTCGTATTACTTCTAGTATAAAAGCTGAGGTAAAAAAACTTTCTAATGGTTCCTAAGAGTAAACATTTCTTTTTAAGAATTGTGTTTTACTCAAAAAATTAAGTCCAACTGAACTTTTGACAGAAAAGATTGATAACAAAGAAATAAGAAACTACAAAATGTTATATTTAAAATATATACGGATTGTTATTGTTGAAGTAAATTAATCTCTTTTTTGCTTTTGCCTTGTTTTTTCATAATAATGAATTACATACGAGTATTTATTTCTTCTATTTTAAAATTAAACCTTCAGAACTGAATTAAGGTAATACACATTAGATGTGGTAAAAGTATGGTTTTCTGCTTCTACTGCGCTGTGAGAGGTATAAGATAGTTATGCGGAAGGATTTACATGTGTAACACAAATATTTTATATGCATCCCTCCAGTTTGCTCAGTTACATGGATGGCTAGAACACTGAAAGTAACACAGGGGATTTGTGTTTGTAAGTTATTGGTCATAAAGAGTCTCATAAACCACAAATTATTATTGGCAAAGGGGTTTACATTTGATAATGTGAAAAGATGTATCTTACAAGCACAGCTGTGAGGTTTTCATATATAAGCAGTATTTTCTTCAAGAATAGTTTCTGCCTTTAAAGAACAGAAATGTTTCCCATGTTTTCTTGATGGTCAGGTATCACAATTATGATGCAATAGGTACATTAGCATCTTTTTCGTGGCCAGTTCTTCACTATGCTGTATCCAAAACCAGTGATTTTCTGTGAGCTACTTCCAGGTACTGCTGCGTTGATGCTTGTTAAATGCAAACAACTGTAAATCACAGCAGGAAAAAACCCCAAACAAACAAAACAAACAAAAAAACCACCAAAACTCCAAGTCTTGATCGGTCCATGTTGGAAAAGGAAAAGCAGTTGCATGGATGGTTTTTACAAGTGACAGTTTTATTAAATATTTATTCAAACATAAAAATAGAGTAGATAGAGGTTAAAAGCGTAACGAAAGTAATATTAAAATCCCCAAATTACTGGTGTTTGTAAATTTCATAGGAAATCAGTATTTGACCTTTTTATTATAGTCCGTAATTTTTATTCCACTCTTAGTCCTCTTTTTGATCCTTTCCCCTTTAATATATTGTGGGGAGGGTATTTTAAGGGTTGTCATAGCCTATGAAACTTTAAAACTTACCCTACTTTTACATCCAGACTGAGATGTCTGTCAGCCATTTCACAAGCCTCTAGTAAAAAGAGAGTTGGACTTTTTAAGACACAGAAACCACAAAATTGCCATAATTTACAATTAATTACAAATTTGCTTATTAACTTTATACTTTTTAAGTGCCTGCCCACAATCCTTTCATCCTAAAAGGCAGCATTTCAGGGTCCTCTGAAGAAGTGATAAAATTAACCAGCCTGAGCCTAGAGAGAAATTTCGTTCTGCCCTAAAAAAAAGCCCTAGGTGAGCTAGGCAGCCTGGAGGCACAGCTCCACCCGCAGAGGAAGGGGCTGCCCAGCAGATGCCCAGACCCATGGGAGAGAGACCATCGCTGCAGCTGCTGCCAGCCTTCCCTACATTCACTCAACTCCTGAGGCAGCCCTTACTCAGCTCACTCAGGACCCAAAGTTTGATGACCTCAAATTAAATTCCTCTCACTAGAAGTTGCGATATCTGATGACCTAAACAGATGTTTTCATTCTTGAGTTTGGTTTTTTTTTAGTACAGTTAGTTTATTTTTTTCGACAACGGGAGGAAAACTTTGAAGTAAATTATGTACTTTGTATATCATGCCACATAAATGAATACATTATTTCATTCTGATTTGTGATTACATTTGCAGGTAACTGTTATTTACAACACTAAAGTGGGTTTTTTGCAGGGTTGCTGGAATATCCCTCATGAACTCAGAAGTAATTACTTACCTTCATTAAACAATTACAGACAGTATTACCATCACCCTCGTTACCCATCTCTTTAATGCAATAAATTAGAGCCTGGCTTCTTTGCTTGCTTCCTTAAAACCTAAGTTTTTGCTATACAAAAATGAAATAAACTCAAGAACAGTTTTAGGACTTTTTCACTTTTCCCTTAGCTGAGTTTGCCAATGAGTGTTGGTATCTAAGGTAAAGGAGGACTCCAAGCAGTAGTCTAAAAATGAGCTGCTTTCATAATTCAAAAAAAAAAATTTAAAGTCCCCTCCACCCACTTTGTTTCCTTACTTCCTCCAGAAATAAATATTTCTGTAAATAACTACTAATCTATTTTTAATCACTTTGAATACTTCATGGTGAGATGGCTACTGAGAAGTATTAAGGAACTTCCTGTGATTTTCATAATTTTTTGTTGAATCTCTTTCAGTAGTCTGAGTTTATATGTTCCCAAAATAAAACATTATCTAATAAAGAGATTTGCCAAACAATAAAAAACAGTCTTTACATCTTTCTACTATATCTTATTAACCAAAAAAAATATACTCAATGAAAATTTTGAATTAACAGATGCTTTCTAGTATTTTCAGGACCAGAAATGTGAGCTCTTTCATAAAAAATAAAAACAAACCAAAAACAAAACTCACAATATCTTGACTCAAATAGCATCATCATTTTGAATGTTTTGCATTCCAGCAGATCTAGATACCATGACCATGTGTTACCTAATTTTGGTTGCTGAGATGAAATACAGAAGAGAGATTTTAAGATACCTCTGGCACAAACCATGTCAGGCTGAAGAACCTGGCTTTGAAATCACAAGATCTCTGGGCTTTACATTCTTTTCTGCATTTAATCTAGTATTCTTCAAAAGTGATATGTCAAACTTACAAGGTCTGGCAGTGACAGAAGATGTATATATTTCTGATGAACTCTTCATCTTTAAAAATCTGGTTTCCTATCTTAGCTGCATGTTCAGTGGCCAGATAAGAGAATGCTCACAGACCTTATCTTGCCTGTATTTTGTAGTCTTTACTTCAGTCAGAAGCATATTGTACTGTAGGTTTCCATGACTTCATGCAAACTTGAGCCAGACAACCCTAACACATATGTATGAATACATTCAACAAGACATCGCTTTTTGTGACCTAGGATGAATCCTGGAAACTACACGTTTCCAGGCTGCAAGTGGAGTGGAGAGCAAGTTTAAGCTCTTTTTTGTTTTATGTTTATGAATTTAAAGATTTATGAATTTATGAATTTATGTTTTACTACTTGTTGATTGTGCTGGTAAAACAGCATCAGCTTTATTGTTGGCATTAATCCATTAATAACACTGAGCTCATTATATGAAACTCTTTATTTTGTTATATTAGTGGGGCTCTCTTTCATTTTATAGCTGGCTTAAGTCCTGCTGAGATTCAGCAGTTATGGAAAGAAGTGACTGGAGTTCACAGTATGGAAGACAATGGCATTAAACATGGAGGGCTAGACCTCACTACTAACAATTCCTCCTCTACTACCTCCTCCACCACTTCCAAAGCATCACCACCAATAACTCATCATTCCATAGTGAATGGACAGTCTTCAGTTCTAAATGCAAGGCGAGACAGGTAATTCTGATGAGATTTCAACTGTGCTTATCATTTGACGTGAAGCGGTTGTATAACATCTAAAGTCACATGATTTCCAATCTAAAAATAGCACTTAATAGAGGTTACTTGAGAGATTGTAGAAACCTGATTTTCCAGGTTTATCAATAGGGCATAATTTTCAGTAATGATACCTAACTGTGCAGACACAACAAAATTACCTGCATGTGGTTTTATAACTCGTGAACTTATGGTAGTTTGGGTAAAAGTTAGAAATCACAGAATCAAGTGGGCTGGTATAGGGGTGTAAATGCACATTTGTGGGGACATTTGTAGGTGCAGTTTCATTCATGATTAACACAGCTGGCAGTCAGGCCCTTACTGTTGAATCACACTCCTGGTTTCATTGACAAAGTCCATCTATATGAGTTGTCAAGGCTGTAATTCGGTGGAAAGATTCTGTGTTAAAAGTGCTTCAAAACTGTATATAAAAGCAGCTCTCATGTTGTTTGTTTCTTGTGAAAAGAACCACTAAATTTTCTGTCTTTTATGCATGACAATAATGATATTTCTTACAAATTTTCAATGTTAGTGTAATACACTGGAATTACACCATATGGATGAAGTTCAAATCATTTTACAGACACATTGACAGATATTATTTACTGTTTCTTAATTTCAAGTAATGGATTAAATACAAGAGTATATAGTATCTGTAACACTTACCAATAATTATATTAGTGTAGTGAGATATTTATGATCTCAATATAAGATGAAATTTAATTGTATCTATATAACCTAAATTTTATTTTCAAATACATTTTCCATTTAATTTTTTTAACACTTATGAGACTATGATTTAAATTCTCATATGAATGTGAGGACAGTTTTCCATCATTATTTTGTATTATTTAAAAATCTGAATACCTTTATGGTAGTACTTTTAGTTAGTATAACTTTTGTGGTTATATCTCACAGAATGGTTCTTTGCTTCAGGATGTTGCCCACATCCACAGAATAATTCCCTCAATTTCTTTGATAACTCATCATGGATAAAACAATTGCAAACTTATTTGAAGGTTCCAGAAAAAGGCATGGAGTACAGCTAGGGATTTTTATGAAGCCACATAGTTAATGAAAGCAGTCAGTGCTTGTGAACAAAAATATTTATTAATGAAAGCAACTTTATTTTTATACATGCTGAGCAGAAAATTCAAATACTTTTTGAACGTTCACAATATTCAGAAATTCTGACTGTCAGTCTTCAATATTTATACTCATAATTGATTAGTTCTGAGTGTATTTTTTATTTATAGGTAAATGTTACACCAAGGTCATATGGCATAATTAGCATACGGTATTATACAGTCATCTTATTTTTTCATCCTTTATTAACAGTCATCTTTGGCTCTATTTCTTCTCTAATTGGAACATCATCTAGCCTTGGCAGTTGAACTATTCAATAGAACGATTAAATTTTTCTGACTGCTCTGAGCTAAATTGACCTGTTTTGACCTGTTTGTCACTGATCGTAACCTGACAGGCGCTAGCAGCCTCCAACGATTATGGCTTTTGAGATGAATCTGATGCCTTATTCTTTTGCTACAGCTCGTCACATGAGGAGACTGGGGCCTCCCATACTCTCTATGGTCATGGAGTTTGCAAATGGCCTGGCTGTGAAAGCGTTTGTGAAGATTTTGGACAATTTTTAAAGTAGGTGGATTTTTATTCCTTGGTACAAAATTGTTCAAGGCAAGGGAAAGTGAAAGACGGCAAACAAAGTTTTACTGTAAACCATATCAGAGATTTTTTTTTGTGTGTATTTCAAGCAACTGGATAATCGAGGCTATCGGCAGAGGGTCAAATTGTTATCCTTTCTTTCATGTTGAACACTTTTGCAGGCCTTTCAATAGCACAGTGTTTAATCCTCTTATTATCCTTTACTGAAATGGAGCCTCAGAAAATTTGAAGAGATGCTTTAGATTTTATATTGGATAGTAGGAGTATGAAAAAGCACATTTTAAATTCTGACAGTTTGTGTGAAGTGGGAATTACTGTGTATAGTATAAATAAAAAAGCACAAAGGCCTGAGCATGACCATTTAACTCTCCCTTAATCTATTTTTTGCTTTTATTCTTGCATGTGCACAAGATACATAGGAAAAAACCCACCGTGTACAGGTGGGTTTGCACCTTTCAGGACTGAAAAGTGATGATGTCATTGCTTCTTCAGCATTTGATTTAGCCAGCTATTTTCTAAATCAGAGCATTTAGGAAATAAGTGACACAGCTTTTCCTTTTCATCTGCAGCTTCTTCAAATTGCAATGGGCTTCTGCAGTTTTTCATTTTTATTTATTTCAAAGTATTTACTAGTATTTCTATGTTCATTTGAATTCTCAACATCAGCACTGATTTGCTACCTATGTACGTTTTGGACTGGTCTTTGTTAGAAGAGCTGTACTCATTTGGCATGCAATAGATCTTAATGGAAAGCTACAGATAGGCTTATATAGATGAGTAACTTCAGGGGCTGAGACTCTTATGTTGTCATGGTGCAGCTAACAGGGTGAATGAACTGTTTCATGCTTCATCAACAATTAAGTTAATTAGCTCATTTGAAATTGCACTGCTTTGTTGCCAGGATGTTGGCAGAAACATCAAAAAGATGTGTTTACAAATGGCAAACTATGGGGTATATAACAGGAGCACCTTAACAGCAGACCATAACCACTAAGTATTACAATAACTTTTATAATAGAATTATAGCAATAGTATTCATAAAGTATTTGCAATGCTTTCTCTGTCTTTCAGTTTTAAATTAAGTAACTTGCACTGACTTGCAAATTGTACGTAGGTATCACTCCTGACAAATTTTTGTTTATTAGTGCATTAAGTGGAATGTCAAAACAATGGCTTATTATTAAAGGAAATGGTATTGGATTTAAAAGAATCTGATTTACATAAGTTTGTATTAAAAGGAAAATGAAATCTCCCAAATTCAATGTAGTGTTCTAAGTATTATTAATAATAAGAATTTAAACTCATTTAGCTTAAGCATTTTCCTTTTCAAGGAAAACTACATTTCCTGAATACGTCCATCCATCTAGCCTATAGTGATGCTAATTCTTTGGGCAGACTTTGCACATCCATTATGTCAGGTCTCTTGTTATAATCCATGATCAGTAAAACCGTTTTGATTTAGACAGTGTAGTACCAGGTTTACAGATGCTCTTGCTTTCCTGAACCAAATAACCCTGGAAAATGTGAAAGTGACACATAACATCTTGATAATTCTGGCTCAGAAGCAATCAGGGTTTACAGCAGTGTCATGGCTTTTTGTCCTATACATCAGCAGAAGCTATCTGAGAATATTTTGTTATTTCTTCTTTTCATTGAAGTTTGTTTACTGTGCCCTTAAACAAATAAGAAGTCATGATGGTGAATAGGAGAGTTTGTTTATGAAATAGAAATTCATAATTCCTTCATTTTACACTAGTGTTAAGATGGAAATCAATACATAACCTTGCATTAGATTCTTTAGTACCTTTTCATGTTCACACTAATGCAAAATCCCCACTACAATTAAAAAACATTTTCTTTCAATTAAAAATCAACTTTTAGTCCAAAGATTGACCATTTTTCCAACCCATTAACTTTATAGGGGATGACAGGACTAATGGCTGTAGTTTTCAAGGCTTTGCTCTTAGTCTAATCTTTGTTGCTATGTTTCAGGTTCTCTGACTTGAAACAATATGATACCTGTGTTAAGAGAGTTAATGCAAGTATATTGTACCAAAATGAAATATTAATAAGGTACTCTACCCCAGTCTCGTAGTCTGTCTTTCTGTAATATGCTTATGACAACTTTAAAGAGTGCCTGGTTTATTAAGCGAACTGCAGCTTTTGCTCAGAAAATGGTTTACCTAGCATCTTGATCTAAAAAAAGAAAAACAAGCAGAGCCTCCAAGAAGGAAGATAAGGACAGAAAACACCAGCTTGGCTTCACTTGGCTAATCAGGAAAATGATGTAGGGTGAAGTAACAAATAACTTTCAATAAATTACTTAGAGCTACAAAAAGCCATTTTCAC